AGGGCTGTTTCAACTTTTGAATTCAATATTATGGGCTTAAAAGCAAAACAGACACTTGGTCATTGTAAGGAAGTACTTCTTGTATTTCAACTTAAAAAGTCATTTTTGTGTAATATACCCAAGTTTTGATACTTTGGCTTAATTGACTAAATCTAATGGTGTGATAATATTATAAAGAACTAAATGCTTTGGATTTCAATCCAATTCTACTACTTTCATGTGTCACTACATGATGAGATAGACCAACATTTCTGGAGTTGTGACTCAAACTTTTCCGAGGTTGGAAAGCGTCCAAACCCTGTAATTAATTTCACTTGAGTTTCAACTTTTGAATTTAATGTTATCATCTCAAAAGCAGGGGATGGACTTGGACAATGTAAGGAAATAGCATTTGATATGGATTTCATCCTAAAAAGTTTAGTTTTATGGTATTTTATATGATAGAATAAGGTGAGGGAGAAGAGGGGGGGGGGTCCTTCCTGGTGGTTTGCTTGGTTCCCCTCCCTGGTAGATCTGTTTCAGCATTGGAATTCAATCCTATGTTGGTAAAAGCAGCACATACAAATGCACATTGTAAGGAAATAGCATTTGATATGTGTTTTAGCCTACAAAGTTGATGTTTTCTTTCCAATTCATCCCAGAAGGGAACGTGTAATGTGAGCATTTATAATCCATCACACATGTAGAAAGCTGCATATTATTACTTGTATGTTTTTAAGATTAAATTCATCTAATACCAGCATATATTTGTTTTTAAAATTTGAGCTTTTGTGGGACTTAGCTTTGCTGTAAAGGCTGTGTAGTATTTTTAATTTCTTGTACACTGTGGATTCTTAAGCTATGTATTAGTGTTTAGGTGCGAACCAAAGGCACTGTTCCTTTTGTTTATATGTTAAAATAACAGTGAAAAGTTTAGTTTAAGAAACTATGTAAGATTGTAAGCCGTCCAAATGTGCCTCTGGTTTCCTGGGACCTATCTACTTACAAAATAAAAGAGATACTGTCAATCTTTAACATAAGCAGTTCTTCAATCCCTTTCCAACATTACTTGTATTACCATTCAAAATTAAAAGTACTGCTAAATATGTCACAGAATATGTGTAGTAAGACTTCAATTCAAGCATGCTACTCTTCAAAATACAACATTTTAAACCCCTGTGGATTGAAAGAACAGGGCACACCTGCACCAAAATATTTACAGGAGTAGAAAATCTGTGCAGTTTTAGGTTCCTTCACTACAGTGGAAGGCAGTTGAGAGAAAGAAGACAACATAAATGCCAATGTAGAGTCCAAAAATGTTTTAATAAATATTAAGAAGTAAAACAAATCAACAAAATTTGCATATGAAAACAGTACGTATACAGTAAGATAATAAATGAGTGATTTCATTGAGTAATGGAATAATTATTATGCTTAAACCATGGATAAACACATAAATTAAAATAGATTGCTCAAGTAAAAAAAAGACAACATATTTACATGACTAGATGATTTCATTACGTCAACAAATAGGCTTAAACCATGGATTAACAGACGAAATAAAATAAATTGCATTAGTATAAACGTACCAAGTCAGGGGAAATAAGACTGATTTCATTATGTCATTAAATAATTATATGCTTCAATAAATAACAAGGTGAATATGAATAGCTAATCATGGCATTAATTGTCTGATGGCTGTGATGAACTTATTCAGGGAATTCATGGGTGCTTTCATACCGAGAAGATACTCGAGGTAGTCATAGTAACTGCACAGGTAGGGGTGGTATTGAAGATTAAACACATGATGCGCTTCCATACACACCTCTAGTGCTCTAATCACAGCATGGCTGTTTCCCTGCGCAACATTTCCAAGAAATACAAATTTTTTATCTATTTTTAGGTAAAGTTTGCCGCTGCAATAGTCACTGGTGAGCCACAGTACAAATGGAAATATAGGGGTGGGCGTAGATCCATCATCAGCCTCAACAGAAACATATGACTCAACATCAGTTCCTTCCTGAAAAGGTAAGTATTAAAGGGATTAGCAAAACAACATAAGGCTTACAATATGCTTCCATATGTAGGAAGTGTACTGATGCTGTAACTCACAGGTGCTGTTTGAAAGAGAGAACTTGAAGGAATTTTCTCAATTAATGCTTTATATTTTTTGATGTGATCTAGATGCTCTTCTTTTGTATTGTTCTTGTTCAATGTTAGTGTTAACAGTTTTGGTAACATCACCATGGCAAGAAGATCATCTAAAAAAAAAGCAAAACAAAAGTGTTGTAAATGTTACAATCTGTGTGCTTTTATAAGTCAAAATATACTATTGGATTTACCATTGTGAAACTCCTCTTGTGCTTCTTTCAATACAGAGGGCTTGGTAATACCAGCATACTGTACAATGATAGGTGCAAGCCGACTAAGTTTGATTGTTAAATCCCCTTGGTAAAGACACTCAATTCTCTTAAACTCTTCTAAAATCTATGAGACAGATTGAATGTTACAATAAACCATTAACTATAAACATATTTTTAACTCAAGGACAAGAATAGTAGAATAAAAAAGATTACCATATCCCCTTCATAGCTGCTTAGGTGCTTATACTCATTTAAAACTTCTGTGAAAGATGGACTTGAGGTGAGAATCCACTTCCTCCTTGTCGTGTAAGATGAGGCTAAAGCTAGCCCTATCATTTTCTTATTGGCTGGAGTAGGTAACAAATCATCCATCAACATTTTCTGCAACAAATAAATTTGCAACAATAAATTATTGAAATAATAAAGTACACCTTGGAAAGACAATAAGAAAAATTATTCATCAGCTGATATTCAACTTACACGAGACTTATCAGACCCAGCAATAGTTTCGGTGTCATTGCTAGAATTTAAAGCATCCTGGAATGAAAGTAACTTTTTTGCAGACTTAGAAGTTGATTGTTTCTGAGGAGTGGACTTATTAGATGGAGTAGATTTCTTTTTAGATGAGTTAGAAGCAGATAATTTCTGTGACTTCTTGGTATTCTTTTTTTTCTGGAGGAAGATCTGACTGAACTGTTTCAAACTTAGTGGTTACAATTTTAAGCCAAGACATCTGAAAAAATGTGAAAGGAATTGAAATTTTCTGTGTGGCATTACATAAAGGAAAACAAAATTTAGTATATAGAATTTGGTTGTAGAAGTTTAACAACAATCATCTTCAAGACAGTGTGAGCATTTAGTACATGTTACATTATTGGTCAATGTAATTCCAATACTAAGGCTTGCAAAACACTTAGTTAATATGTAATTGAAAGTTTCAGTAGAGAAAGAGGCCAGTATTTAACTTCACCAAGAGTACATACCCAAGGGGTATCTCCTTCATCAGCCAGATCACTGAAAGCCTTGACTATTCCTTTAGCAATGGCAAGCTTGACATCAGAATGGGGCTGAAAAAAAATATAGATGAAAATGAATTTTAGGTATTTGCAGGCACATTATCACAGAGCTACAACAGTCTGCTTACTATTTTGATGGGCTACCATATTCAGCAGCATGATGTTCATAAATCAATTTCATCATGTGCACTTGGTGACGATAATCAAGGCACTTGTTATTTTTTTACAAATTCTATGACCGTTTTCCCTGCTTCTGATTTATTTAGAATTGATAATATATCTAAGGGAACCTTCAAGACGATGATAAGGAAAAAGTGAGGTGTTATGTTGACAACAAATTTTAAAATGACATTGAAATCAACATTAAAAGAATGCTTTCTAAAATGAAACATATACATACCACTTCTTCAGCTCGTGTTTTTTTGACCTGAGGGCTTGATTGTCCATCTTCACTTTGTTTCTTTTTTTTCAAAAATGATGCGCTCACACAGGCAACTTCACAGTTGAGGTCATTGGCTGTACCATCAACAATTTGAAGAAAGACGCCATTCTCATCAACAAATCCACTAAGAACTTGATTAAAAGGCTCCTGCAAAATGAAATGGAGTAGATTTTCTCTTTGAAACTTAAGTAAGGATTACAATAAAAAATATGGGACGCACCACCACCACACTACCAGCAGACAACTCTGCAGACTGCTCTTTCTGATTGGGCTCAGGTTCATCTGATTTGAACAATTTAATAATTTTGACAAGTTCTCTTCTCTGTGCATAATTGATATCAAAATTGTCTCGTAGCTTTTCTTCATTAAGATCAAGGAAGCAGTCTCCATCCACATCCTCAGCTAAAACAAAGAGATACAGATATATAAAATATCGGATTAGACAATAGGCTGCATTGTGTATTTAAAAAGGGGGCCACAAAATTAAGTAAATATCACCAACAGAATACAACATTTTATCTGCAAAAGAAATTTCTACTTATTTAAAAATGCTAGCACTTTAACCCCTTCTCCCTTCTTACCTCCCCCCGGTCCATATAGTCAAAAAACTTTGTGTTTCAGACAGAGATAGAATTGACCGTCAGAGTCCTTCCACCTACTTATGGGAGGATGAGAGGGTAAGTCTCTTAGATCAATCAGGTGAGTGACGGGATTTTGAATGTGGGTTACAAGATGTAAATTAAAGCGCTCCACTAAGCCTTCAGTTTTCCAAGGCTGCACAGCAAGCCAAACAGAATCCGTCCCCTCAGGACAAACAACTGAAACAATTTTGCCAAAGTTTGGAAGGCCAAACTCTCCTGCAATAGCAATGAGAACAAATTCTCCTATTCTATACTCAACGCCCAGTTTGAGAGCAGCTTTGCAGACACTAATGGCAGCATCAGGAGCAAACCCATAGGCTTGAAGTAGGCGAGAAACAGGTGAATCCCTGACAAAAATGTTGTGCCTTTTCACATATTTTACTTCCTGAAACACATCAGCACTTCTGGTTCCCCAAACTTTGGCTACTCTGATCTGAGCCTGTTCCATAGCAGTTTTTTGTGGATTGATGAAATTATTGCATGCAACTAAATGTCTCTTTCCATGACAATTTTTTGATTCCTCCCTGAAACACCAAAATTGTCTTTGTGGTCCCATTTGCAAATAGTTTTCGGCACCATGCATTAAATAATGAAATTTGTTAATGGGGTCTACTCCAGGAAACAATATGTACCAGCTACGTCGAAATGTATCAAGAAGTCTTGTTAAGTGAGGAATCTCATCTCTTGGTAATCTAGGAGCACTTAGTAATTGGTAAATCTTTAGAAGTAATAATAATATTTGCAGATATCCATTTTCCTCGTCAACACCATGTTCTCCAATGTTGTCCAGAATGAGGGGAAGAGCTCGAAACAAAACTAACACTTGAACAGCATTCATTTTCTGTTTATGAACACGAGCAGCATTTAGCAGCGATTCATGGGTAAAGTTATCCATCGGCTTATCCCGAATATTCTGTTTCCCAAAGTTGAAATTTTTAATTTTCTCATTTAACTCATCAGCTGTGAAGAGTTGTTGAACGCACACAAACTGCTTCATACACAACCTAATCAGCATTAAAATAACACCTTCAGCCCCGTCATGTTGCAGATCAAAATTACCATTGTTTTCAGCCCGAAAGTAACCAAGGTTGTGGAGGATAGTATTATACCGTATGCCACATTCAGTGCTGTAATCATCATTCTGATAAACTCTTGCCAGTTGTCGTTCACTCTCTTGTTTTGTTCTTCGAGCACCTAGCATAATATTTCCATTATGAAGTTCTGGTCTACTTATCATGCAGAGTGGACAAAAATGTCGAGCTCCACATGCAAGGAAACCAAGCATTTCATGAACAGCTTTCGCATCACCTTTTACTGCAACTCAACAACCCCTGATGGTAACAAAGTCATTAACACCATGATCATAGGTTCTAACACCTTCTTCCAAACGCAGTAGATCAGCCACTAAACGTCTGAAGACATCTTCAAATGTGCCCTTACAATCATTTGCATTTGCCATGATAACTGGAAATATTGAATCAAGGGAATCCTTTAGCCAGGGAGGTAAGTTTAAGATAGTAATAAAAAAATTATAAATCTCATGTGCACCAGTTTTGGGTCCTAATGCACGGGCTGGATCCACACCATCCCCATACAAAACCAACTGAAATGCATCAGGATACAGTTGAAAAAATTCATGGTTTCTGTACTGATCACCATCCACATAACCACCTAATATGCCAGTATCAGAAGGACGTAAATTTCTAATATAATTCATGACACTTTGTTTCCTGGCTACTAGCTTGAGAATTTCTACAATAGACACATACTGATAGCTGCTGGCTACAGGCTCCATGCCATATGCCCCTTCTTCGCCCAACCGTTGATCTAGCCTGACATTGATGAAACAAGTATCAGGTTCAATATAGCTGTAATAATGCTTGATGCCAGAAATTTGCCCTTTGTTCGACTTCATTCCCTTAAAAGGGCTCTCCGCATCGAACTTTCTGAGAAGATCCTGCACTCGTGGTTCATTCATTTGGCCATTTCTTTCAAAAAAGCTGGTAACATCGGCCTTCAGGGATGACTGAACAACTTTGATAATCTTTTCAGCCCCACACATAGCTCTATGCACACCAACTCGAGCAGCTACACTACGCATGTCAACAATCATGTTGACAGCTGCATGTCTGACATCTCTACGTCCGTTTGGTAATAACAACAAATCAAGATCATCATCAATATCACCACCATCATCACTGAATGGAGCAGACTCGTTCAAACTGCTAGCTTCACTAACCATTTCCTCATCATTTTCATTGACTATGTCTATTAGCTCTTGACCATGATACTGAGTAGTGTGCTCTTTCCAGCCCCTATAAGTGTGGTATGGTTGGTTACAAAGACCACAAGTAAAGCCATCCGGCCAAGCATCAGTGATGTGAAAGCCATGCACTACATGGATGTGGTGACGAACACCAGCAAACCCCACCAGAGCCACACCACATACAGGACATAAAATCTCTGCATGATCCATTACGACAGAAGTATTAAGAGAATGGAACTAAATTTCTGGTAACATGCAAGCAAAAAATATAAATAAGAGCGACAATATAGTAGTTACAAGCTGTTGTTGTTTTATCCCCACCCCTCTCGCCCTTACTAACCTTTCAATTTTGCAATGGTATCTTCCTTGATCTTTTCACAAGTAAGCAGGTACTGGGCCACCTGCTCCACTGAATCATTGATTAAAACCATGACTTAAAAATTCCTGAAAACAGCAAGAAAGAACAAGATTACAAACGCATCGAAAGTAAACAGAAGAGGATGACAAAGTCTAATTTAGGTGAAAAGGCATACTTGGTATTGAAAGATTATCACTTGTCTCAAATAACAGTTACAGCGTCCAAAGGTCTGATAAAACAGTGTCGCAGGAAGGGTTCTGCAAAATATGAAATTGATTAAACGGATGCGAACAAGCAGCTGACTTGGGCTTGGCAACAAACTTAAATGAAAACTATCTGATAGGTTATGTACAAAGATGAAAGAGCGCATATGCACCAAACTTCGCCTTTCATTCGAAATTGATAGATTTAAAGTGTGTCAAGAAACATTAAAGGAACAAGGGACATATTGGTTACAACATAAATTACAATCAAACGCTCAAAACCATAAAATTTCTTCTTGACGATACACTTGGCACTCTTTTCCCGCCGCTCGACTTCAACTGCAGCCACACACACACAACGACAACGACGTCGCGACGCGTTGGACCAATCACGGAGTTTGGCATTTCACCGCACAGCCTTGTTATGTTACCTTTGATGCCTTTGATACACGTTAATAACTGACAACACTGTTAAAAAAAAGTCTCACGACAGTGGACCACTTGTAAAGACGTACACATAGAAATGGATGCCTCCGATGAATATCTGATAGAAATGCGACTTTCCAGGGGTCGCCTTGGAAATGGGTATGTTGTCCCAGGAGACCTCTGGGCTCGGGGTCCACCCACCTCAGGCCCAGGGCATTCCCTGGGAGTTCCAATCCGACCCAGGGCATCCCCTGGAGAAAAATATATCTTTCCAGGGTGCCTACTGGGACTTTTCCATTTCCCCTGGAAACTGAAAAAAACTCCTGGGAATCCCAGGACTTGTTTTAACCGTGCGCGGGAATCTCGTCAAGTCTTGCTGCTCTTGGATTGGTTCTGGGGTAACTATTGGCAACTGTTTGCTACATAGGTCTGTCCTGGTTGCTAGTCACTCACTTCGGTCACACCGGTCTGCGGTGTGGTGCGGTGGTGAAGCAGGCAGCAATGTAGCTTCTCACCCCGGGGACTCGGGTTCGACTCTCGACTTGGCAGTTGTGTTCTTGGGCTTGGCAGCCTCCTTAGGCTTCCTATGGAATGTTCTCCATGTTTAGATCCGTGGAGTGGTACAAGAAGTTGAGTTTATGAAAGGAATTGAATTTATAGTTCACGACTCGGGCTTCTTGCCTGTCCTTGCATAATGTGTGCCTTCAGTCAGTGCTATGATGTCCATCATTCCTGCAGCGTTGAATAGGTAACAAATCCTCACAAAACTGCATTCACACTTGAAGAATGAAGAACTTCAGACTGCACAAACAATACTTGCACTCCACAGCAACACACCTACTGTGGTCGTGGTTTTTCTGTATGTTGTTTTTTTTCTTGGTTTTTTCTCTTTCTTTTCTTTTTTTTTCACTTTCCATTATTTCTCTTTATTTTCCTGCTTGCTTTCCCTCAGCTGTTTGTCTTTGCGCCTGTCACCCCGCCTTCATCTGGTCCGCCATCACCCTTCGTTACTCCTTGTACGTGAATGTTCGTTACGTGTAGCTTATAAAGCATAGCCATGGTTCCTCATGTTTTTGTGTTCCGTTTTCTGCATCACACTCGTGACTGTAACGGTGATCATGTTACCATTAGTGGTCCGTGTGCCCCTCAAGTGGAGCCCGAAATTTTTACTTTGTCCGGGAACTATATTTATGACTTATGTTATGTTCCGGAGACCGACTTACTTCAGTCCTTCTACTGGTGCAAATGGTGCTTTGGCCCTGCTTATGTATGTTCTGGGGTCTCTCTCTCCCTTTCCTGTCTTTTCTTTCCTGTTCATTTATTTATTATTTCTTTTTAGGAAGCTATCCCAGACCCTCTGGAGATTCCCATTGATTTTGACCCTGCGGGCCCCTACGAGGAATGAGGTTAGCTCTCCCATACTTGTCCATTTTACTTCATTTTTATTTTATTTTTAATTTATCATTTTAATTCGTTGTTATTTTACTTTCCTTCTAGTATTTATGACCTCTGCTGTTTCCTTTAATGATCATGGGATCCTTTTTTTTTTCCAACTTTCTAAAAGTTTCTTTTTACTGACACCTTTGCCTCATTAAACTAGTTTTAATCTGTCTTTTCCTTATTTTCCCTTTTTTCTTCTTTTGTCTTTAAAACGTGGTTATTGTTTCCTTTCCCCGTGTGTTTCCTGGGACTGTTTGAAATAATAACTACGGGTTATAAGGCAGAACAAAACATTTTATTTATCAAGGTTACATTGAATACTGTATTATTTACTTGTTTTTAAGTCTCATTTCTTTTTCTTCCTCTTTTCTCCAGTGCATGCCGCTGTTAAATGACCCCGCTGATTGCATCTTCTGCATCGTAGTTTGAACCTGGGATCTTCCGGGTGAAACTTCTTGTCCCCTTTTTCCTTTTCATTTTCCTTCTTTCTGGCTTCCATCCATTCCGCTTTTGGTGCTGGCTTTGCTATCTCATTTACGTCTTTTTCTTGCACTTTCCACTCCACAGTTTTACCGCTTGCCTCCTTAGCTTTATTCCTGCTGATTTCCTCCAGCTTCTTCGTTATCTCCCGTATTGCTTCCTCTTCCTTCTCTATCTTGCTTTCCAGTGCGGTTTCTCTTTCTGTGTCTACTATTGCCTCCTCTAGTTCCTTTAGCTCTTTCTCAAAACCCGGTAAGCTTTCTGTACTGACAGTGCACTTTATTTCTTTTGTAGCACTCTCATCTTCAGAATCACTGGTCTCACTTGAACTAGACGACGAGCTGGATGAGGATGAACTAGATGAAGATGAGCTGGATGAAGATGAGCTCCTATCTCTGACTCTTGTGCCGCTGGTTGTTACAACCTCGCTTGTACAAAGTCCTGGAGTGCAGACATGTTCTTCCTCTCCAATCTGCTGCTCCACCTCCATTTTCTCTTCCTGCTCTTCTTTTTCCTCTGCTTCTACCATTTGGAACCAGTTTATTTCTGACTTTGCCAGTTCCTGTGCCTTTTTCGCCTTTTTCTCTTTTACTTGCTCCGCTCGTTCCAGTACTACTTCCATTCTGCTCATTTTTGCTGGAATTGCTTCTGGGTTTTGTGTCGATTTACGCCTTGCCATCCGGTTTTGTATCTTCTTTATGACTACCAGCTGCCTTTGCTGTTCATCCTTCTTGAATTTCTCCCTTACTCTTTGGACTTTCTCCTCTAGCTCTTTGGGATCCACGGGTTTTGTTGGTGTTACCCTGGCCTCTACTCGAGCTTGTAATATTTTCCTCTCTTCCCCTGCTTTCCTTTGCACTATTCTGAGGTTTGAGAATGTGCTCTTCCCTACTGGCACTTGGTCCTTGTTCATTTTCTTTTCTTCACTCGTTTTTTTTCCCTTTGAAAATCACTCTTACTCACTTAACACTTCAACTCACAAATCTCACTCCTGACGGGGCGGGACCGACACGTCCACAGTAAATCCGTCCACAGAATTTGCG